TCTATGTAAGCAAGCTCTGTTTTCCCTGTACTTTCCTTATTCCTTAGTTGTAAATCGTATTGCAAGAAGGTCTCATTGCTCTTGGGGACCACCAATGCTTCTATATTCTAGAATCTTATCAGGAAAACTCGGGAGTCAACCAACCTCCAGCCTTTAGCTGGTAGCTTAGTTGACTAAATAAGAAAAGTACTAAACCAGAATATCATTGTGTAAATTATTTCCCATAAATAAAGCAAGCAGATTGAAAAACTCTAGAAATTCTTTCCGGTGAGTCCACAAATAGATTCTGATCAGGACACCAGCCAAGTGCCGGGTATGTTTAGGCACTAAGGAATACAGTTCTGGTCTCATGGGGCTTATATTCTAATTGGGGCAGACAGAAACAAACAAACGATAAATATATAATATATCAGGTGAAAATAAACTGTAAGCAGGAAAATAAAGCAGAGTAAGGAAATAAAGAGTACCTGAGGTGCTATTTTAGATAACGTGGTCAGGCTTGGTCTTCTTGGTAGGGAATCATTTGAGTAAAGATTTGAATGAAATTAAAAAGTGAACCATGCCAATACCCGGGAAAGACCATTTCAAGAAGAGGAAAACGCAAGAGTTAGGTCTGATATCCATTGCATAGCATGTGGAAAGAGCAGCAAGGAAGCCTGCACAGCTGGAAGAGATGAGAGAGGGAGGAGAGGTCAGATACGAGGCCACAGGGAGGTTTGGTAAGGGGTGGTGGTGAGCGTGTCCTATAGGGCTTTGAAGTCCATGGTAAAGATTGCATTTTATTCTGAGTGAGATGAGAATCCCCTGGAAAGGTTTGAGTAGAAGAGTTACTTAACCTAGAACTACATTTTAAAAGGATCACACTGGCTGCTACATCAAGAATATTATTGCAGACAAAAGAATTTGAGGCTCTAAGGCAGTAGTTTTCTAACTTTTCAGCCATTGAGCCTTCGTTAAAATGAGACATTATGATAAGTCCCATATCATAAAAAAAAAAAAAAAAGCCTAGCTTATTTTCAGGAAATAATTTTAAGTCACTGGGCAAATAAACTCTTATTTTATCACTCCACTGGAATATCTATAAGACACCTTGAATTGGGCTCTAGTCAACCCAGAGTAGCCACAGGTGAGCTGCATGGATCAAGTATTTCTCCATATACATTTAATATTATTAATAAGGAAAATGAATGATGGTTTTCACTTGTACAGCACAAATAATGTAAGTACTTTTACAATTATTCTCTAAGTTGAAATTTCTTCTAACCACGTAAGAAAACAAATCTTAGTAACTCAGGGTCAAATTCAATTCGAAAGTATTAATGCTAGAAGTTTATGAATAGGAGCTTTGGTTATCTCTTTGATAGATCAACATGTTTTTAATTGAAAGAGATAATGTCTTCTGGAAATTTAGGCTATATTTCTATGTTTATATTACTTTTTATGCCAATACCATTTTTAACCACTGCATTATTTTCTGTTTTATGAAAGAAAGTAGTTAGCTTGTTAGACTGGATTTGCTGTCAGCTAATTTTGAAGTTTTTTGCTGCCAGCCTTTTCTTGGTACATATGGATTTGATACATAGATATAGATTTAAGGCTAGAAATAAACATAGATATATTGGTATATAAATGTATATTCCAGTGTCCTTTTATAGGATAAAATTTATTCTTATATTAGAAAAGTACATCCATACATAGTTTTGGATATTTAAGCCATAAATATTGAACAACTAGGTGCTAGACAATGTGTTAGGTGCAAAATTAACACTAGAGAATTCTTCCTGCAAACATTGATTTATCATTATGCAGGTACAGATCTTTAATTCTTTAATCACATAAAATAATTTTCTTCCAATAACTTTTATCACAAATTCCCTTTGATTTTCATGAAATAATCTTATGTCCCTATAAATACACATTATGAAAAATTTACACACAAACACACCTCCTTTCCTGACCCACAAACCTTCCTGACTTGAGGATACATTAGATACATTAGAAGACAAATTATTTAATCACAGAATACAATGTAGTCCTAGGGGGAAAAAAAAAGCTACGTAGCAGAATGATCTACCATAAGCATGAAGGGATTGATTACCTTGTTTCTTATCAGTGATGATTACAATTAATGTGACTGGATAGTAACTATCCTTGATATAAATTGAAATTACTTGGGAAAGATAAACAACAAACTAGTAAGGCTTTGTGTGTGAGCATCTTTTCTAAA